TCTGGGGAGCTGGAAGATGAGAACTGGCGACTTTGTAGTACAACTTTAGTACGCGGAGCAAGCCGTGGAGCTGGAAGCTGAGAACTGGCGACTTTGTAGCACCTTTACTACGCGGCTGAGTCATCTCTATTCTGTATTTTGCAAAATGCATGAACAATTTTTTTCCTGGGAGACAGTTAACGGTGGTTGCTTCGCTTTCGCTCCATTGGTCGGTTCCAACTTGTTTTGTCAAAGAACATCGCAGCTCGGCGAATCAGCCTGCCACATGCCCATTTCCTATAGGTTTATTCTTTTGGAAACTTCCGCCGCCGACTTGCCCGGGAACTACTTGTACAATCTTATTCACTTCCTTTTTTAGCCTACTTATTATATAACCAAGTAAGGGAGAAGTTCGCTCCTAGCTACTTGGACGCTGCTGCATATGGACGCAGGATAGCTCACGCCTCTTCAAGGAAGCTCCCCCGCCCGAGGGTGGGCGGGAGTTTCCTTGAAGAAGCGCTCGCACTAATGATTTGGTTCCTAGATTTTTAGGGAAATTAGTGAGTGTAATTGAAAGACTAACCTGCCAGAGGCTGGCGTCCTCCTCTGCTTGTGAGGTGTGGTACGATATCTTTCCTGGCAGAACACAGGAGCAAGGATACTTGACAATTCGGCAAAGCAATGCTTGGCAAGCATTTTGAGTTAGTTGGCTCGCCTGTGGCTCTGCTTGGCGATTAGGCTGTCCATATTTCTCCAGCCATGCAGACAAGGACGTGACACTGCTGTCAGCCCGGGTGTTTCGTACGGTCCTGGCAAAGGAATCAACATACAAGTAGTGCAAGGAAGCAAACCTATTGCAGGAGCAAACCTGTAGTCTTCCCTCATCGCTTTGTCCACAGCATCCTGGGCACACCAAGCAACTATAAGCATGTGAAGCAGCAGCCGCGTAATGCTGCTTGCCAGGCCTGCTTTGCAGAGATGTCCGTGGCAATGCTCTTCATGGCTTGCATGCTTCGCTGATATTCCGCGCTTTGCGCTTCGTTCGGAGTCACATGCCTCTAGATTCAGATCTCATCGTGTTTGGCAGAATCACATTCCAAAAGATTAAGGAGTTTCAACCGTAGAACCTTACAAATCCAGACCTGTAGTTAGGGCCGCCCCAAACTTTGCTTTGCTGGGTATCCTCGGTTGTTCAAACCAAAAGCTGCGAATCAAATGCTTGTAACTCTCAAGGATGCTGAGGCTCTTTAGCCAAGGCTTTCACATTGCCTGTCAGGGAAATTAGCGCAAGCGAGCATGATCTTCAATAAGTCAATAAGTGAGAGCATGGTGCTGGAAGAATGGATATGTCAAGAATTGATGTTAGATACTGTCAGGAATCAGGACCACTTACTGTATATATATATATATATCACTTGTACAGGAAGCGTTGGTTGCAAGTGATTCACAAACTTGCCTTGTTGAAAATGGAGATCTTCCTTTACCTTCTTGCCCCACTCTCGAGCCATCTTTGCCTCCTGCCAAAAGCACTAGCGGCATACCGTCATACCCATGAGAACGGAAACCTTACCCATGGAGGGAAACGGTGGACCACTTGAAGGAAAAGGCACAGAGAACATTTGTAAACAAGTGAGCTGTGTTCAAAACCTGTAGTTATCGAACTTCGTCGTAAGGATTTGATTACGCATGAGTTAACGCAATGCTTCGCAAAAGGCCCTGTTTGGAGCTTACGCTGGCTGACGCTGAAGGACCCTTTCTATGAGGCCAGAACAGTGCATGGTATATTGCAAGCCAACTTCCCTCGCTTAAGTCTACTTCTACGCCTGCGCCCTGCACTCCAAAAGAACCCCTCGAGGAGAAGTTGTCAGCAAAGGCAAGGGCATTGAGCAAACAGGCTACAAAAAAGGACGGAAAATGATACTGCAGCGTGCCCGGTGCTGATGATCAAGAATCTGAAGGCTCAGAGTCGACAGTTGGAAACTGGAGACCGACTTCTGCTTGGAAAACAGCCTGCGCGTAAGGTGTCGCTATGGCTTTGCTCTTTTCGTGGGCAAGGCCCTTACGCGGAGCTTAAGCGCGGCTTGCGCAGATTTCGACTGCATCTGGGTGACCTCATCTTTCACGTCTCTGCTCATCACCATCCTTGAGGAAAGGAACCGTGTCAAGTACAGTGAATGGTGGTTTTGCTTATTGTACCGCCTTTGTAGATGCGGTGACTTGGCATATATCGGTCCTCAAAATCCAATGGCCCAATGGCTTTCGACAGAGCCTCAACATTCTGACTTTGCTTACGCAACATGTTCTCAAAAGTCTGTTTACGCGAGCTTACGCGACCCAGTGCTTGGCTAAGTTTGGCTTACGCACTTATGACACAACTCTTTCATCTTATGACTAAGGAGGTTTTGAACCTTGCTCAAAGTGAAACACCCTCAGGTCCCATGATTTTGCTGCCTAGAGTGAATCAGTCCTGCTTCATGGCCTCCAGTCGCGAGGCCGAAATTGACCTCTGCTGCAGCCTGCAGTCGAGTTGCGACGCTTCGGCCAAAGGCAAATCACCGCAGCACCGCGAGGCTTTGGCTACTAGGAGCAAGGACGCTACTAGGGGCTCCTGGCATCGCTACTAGGAGCAAGGACGCTACTAGGCATGGATATCATCAAACGGCCTGTTTGGTGCATCGAGGCTAAGGCGGCATATACCATCCTGTCCGCCCACGCCCATGCACAATCGCATTTCAAAAGCATTGACAGACTCATGTCTCCTAGTAGTAAGGCCAGGAGCCCCTAGTAGAGTCCTTGCTCCTAGTAGTAAGGCCAGAAAGATCAACAAAACATCACAATCACAGAAGCATGATCATATATGATCACAAACACATTTATGCCCCGGTGATGTAATGCAACTGTCTCTTGAATATAACTCTGTGGCGAGACTAGCAGGACCAGAAATCACAAAGAGCTTGAACTCACATCACTGAAATCTGTGTTTCGACCCAATGGAGTTGACCACCTCGGCCCGTTTCTTTGCAGAGATGGCATCCATGGCTTGGGCCAAGCAAATACTGCAGCGAAGTCGACAAAGTCGGTGAACACTTGACAGATTTATGTTGATCTGTAAGGAAGAAGCCTCATTGGTTTGGGGTTCCCCTCACTTTGATCCTGACACAAAGCACCGAGCTTGCTAGGGGGATGCACCAAGTTTCTCCATTGCTCGGTACTTCTTGTCCAAGCGCCTGGCCACTGAAAGCCGCTGTAAGCGAGCTCGAGAAAGCACTGATCATTGAGAGGCTGACTTGTGTAGGAGGTAGAAGAGCGCACAGTCAGAGAAGGAGTTGCAATTCTTGCGCAACCTCAAAAGCTACCCCAAAACATTGAAGGATAAAGAAAAGCCACGGGGTTGTGAGGAGAACGGGCAGGTTTCACTCTTTCACTGACAAGTTTCACCTGTGAAGGGCAATGCGTTCACACGTGACCCACCAACCCTCTGAGTCCAAAACAAATCGTACCTCCAGATCAAAGTACTTTGGACGAGTGGTCAGGTTCGTAGACTCATCGCAACAATGCGTAGCCCAAGCAAACGAAGCCCGAATGGCACGTTCCCGAGATGAAGTAGCGCTCCAAAGCCTCCCGCATTTGAGACCCCGTGTACGGAGACATTCCCATGTCGATGACCTGATGATGAGTTGCAAATTGGCTCGTTTTGATGGTGAGAGAAGACCTCAAAGTGTTGCATCTTTTTCCACTTGGTTGTTTTGCTTTTGTTGAAAACCACTTGACAACTGAAACTGTGGTCTGTATTGGTCTGTTCGTTTCTGGCAGTTCTTGGCCCCAGACCTCAGGTTTTGAGTCCGGCATCTGCGGATTTTTGTGTGAGGAGAGGTCAGAGGTCGATGCGATGCCACCATCGCTGAAGAAATATTCCTGCAATGGAACTGATGGAACCCTGTCTCAATGACTTGGCTGTGTTTGTTCAATTGGTAGATGGAATATTTCTGACATTCCCATGTCAATCTGAATCAAGGGAACTCAATCGAACTCATCCAGGATGTGCAGCATCACCTCACATCCCGAGCAGGTGGTTTTGCTGAGGGTTCGGCATGGCCGTTGACAATCACAGAGGAGTGGTAGGCAGTTGCCTGGCCATTGGCCATTGACAATCAGAAGGGTGTTCTGCTTGAATTTGTTCCACCCCCGGCACCCTGAACTGTCTCCTAATCACTGCCAGCTTGGCTCCAGGAACTCCTCCTAGCACGGAGACGGCGAGCTGTACCTGAGGCGGTTCAAAAAAGAGCTGTGGGTGAAGAGGACCCTAAAGTCAGAGAAGTATGGCTTAAAATCCGGAGACCCTCAAAAGTCAACAGAAATAGAACATGGGAAGGAACCTATTTGCAAAGGTATTCACATGAGAGAAGCAACTTCCCCTGAAGCCTCTGATTCTCACTGAATCTTTTTCACTGGTTCACACTTGTTCAATCTGAGTACCTCATCAACAAGGCGACCGCCCCTTCTAAGAGCAGCCCACACCCTACACCACGCCCTACACGTGACACAAAAGCATGTGGAAGTTTCAAAGGTATGATCTAAAAATTACAAGTTTCATTGTTTCAACAACTTTCTGACAATCCTGCTTTTTTGGGGATTCAAGCTGGACTCCAACCAAACCGGCCTGGTTGTTTGCAGTGCGACCCTTCCCAAAGTTTGAACTGGAGGCATCTCCTGTGATTGAACCATGCGCAAACAAAACTTTGACAAATGTGCTAATTACCTTAAGAGCTCAGTGTTGGCATTGAATTCTGCAGTTGTCTTTTCGTTGCACCTTGTCCATCTGGCCCAGGTGCAGCCGATGACTGAAGCAGGCAAAAAGATTAAGGTCAAACAACGCTGGGTTATCTGTGCGTCAAAAGGAATAAAGATTGAAATCAAAGACGGGCCCCTCTGATCCTTGGCAAGGCAAAGGGATGTCACGTCACCTTTTCCAAAACATGTGCTCCATGCCTTGGCCGCGGATTGCTGTCCGCCCATCGCTACGGGAGACTGCAGGAAGTTAACTAGGAGCTTCAAGCTGGAAACATCAGCAGAAAGAGGTCTTAGACATGGTGACATTGGCATCTCAAAGTGGGAATAACTCCGACCAAGGGGGTAGAGTGTTTGTCAATGTTCCTACTTCCAGGGTGCGTAGTCCCTCACATGGTCCGACTGAGCAAAAAAATGATCAAAGTTGCAAGGTCTTTTAGACGACGTGAACAACCGCTTCGCAGCGGTGAGCAGGCCTATTGCTGCACGCAGATGTGCAGTAAACTGAGGTGAAGCCTAATCTGCTGAAGGTCAGCCACCCAAAACTGCGAAGCTGGGTTCTTGCCCAGCCGAGAGGTGGGAAAATACACGACAGCTCTGCGCGGCTGACAGAGGATCAATGGATCACAGAACTGGTTTCTAGCAGGTCAATACTAAAAGTGCAATTCCGTTGGTACACACACACACACCACAAACAAATATCATCTGAATCCAATCTTTGTCCTGAACATTGAGATGGTTCGTTCCAGCAGAAGAGCAATGCATGCTCTCCTGTTCAAAAAGTCTCGAGCATTAAACTAACTTTCCTACACCTGTCACCTTTCGGCGACAAATGGGACAAATCAAGTCTCGCGAAGGGTACCTGGCATCTTGGAGCGCTTTTCGGGATGTTGGTGAAGTTGGCTATGGCTCAAAAAGATCAAGTTGGTAGCTTGGCTGAAGCAGGACACAAACCGTTGCAGCCGCTTCTCTTGTTTATGTCTAAGTCTAAGCCATACCACGCCCATGAAAAGGACCCGAAACATCAAGAACTATTCGTAGGTATCAAATCACGCCCAAGCCAGAATGACGAATCCGTGCAGATCCAACCTCGGCATGTCGCAACATCGCCAAAGTTTGAGGTACTGTGTATCACCTCACGATCCTACAAGTTGGGTACCACCAAGAAGACCATCTCCAACTGTAGGGCTGAACTGAACTCCTCTCGACAATCTGCTACCAAGACGCTTCGATAACAGCCAGCATGTAAAGAATGTCGGCATGGGAGCAAGCAAATATTGGCCTGTCATGGAGGCTATCAAACTTATAAGCTGCAAATAGTCGCGTGGTTGGATCCCGGGAGATGGGTGTCATCGCACACCACAATCATGAAACCATTCAATATTCCAAAAACTTTGACAGGAGAATACTCTGTGAGATAATGCCTTGCAAGAGACGTGCAATCAAGCAAGTCATGACATGGGAATATTGTGTGCCAACGCCATTGCACAGGCACAAGACTCATGAAGGAAAACAGCGCGATGCCTCGTCCTCGGTGCCGAAACAAATACAGCATGGCTCGCCCTCACCATAGGCCACATTCACTGGCACCTTCCTGCATAAACTGGGGCACAAATGACAGGGAGTACATTGACCTGGATCCAATTCACTACCGAACGAGTTGACACGGGAAGGAGGTAAATCAGTTCAAGAAGTGGGAATCTGCAAGGCAACAGAATGAACTAAAAGGTTTCCAGAATGATTTTGTGTAGTGCAGTAGTGTAGCCTAGGGCCTAGGATCTTGAAGTGTGAAAAAGACCTACAAATTCTGGAAGTGCACATTAACACCAAGTCTAAGTCCCTGCAACCTCCTGCCCCTGCCTCCGGCCCAAGCTGCTCAGACGCCAAAGCCGGCGCCGGCGGCGCAGGCAGCGCGAGAGGCTTGCCACGCAGAAGGCCAACGCCACCAAGATGGGCTGAGCCTCGGCCACTCATTACATCTCACGACCCATCAACTGGCAGGCCCGACCTGGTGGAGGCTCCCCCAAAACATGTTGTACAAAGACACTAGTCCAAGGAGTTATGGTCCGTCCGTCGGCTGAAGCTGCACAAGCGTTCTGCTCTGGGGATTCGGCCGCTGTGTACATGATGGTGGTGGGCAGCAGTAAAAGCGGCCACCTTTGTCACATTCTGGGTGGTGTGCCAGTGGTTTTCTGACGAGAACTCGGTACCATGCGGAAGCAAGAGCCAGCCAAAGAAGACCAGTGCAAAGATCCCTGGCAAACCACCTGTGCATTCACAAGGAACCATGACAAATTCACTACATTCATGTACCAAGAATGTGGAACACGCCTCCATCAAAGCTTTGTGGGGTGACCTCATTTGGCCAAGAGATTCCATTGCTCTGTCCAAGAAAGCTCATGACCAAGCCCCAACAACAAAACCATGTACACTCTGACTCACAAACATGGATGCAGAAATGGTCCCTCGCAAAACTACTTTCCTTTATGAACAGGAGGTTTTCGTGAGTCAGCATGCAACATCATGTATGCATTCGAAAGCCCGTCAAGGAGAAGCACTTACTGTAAACACTGCACACATTGTGCACCACACCAATTCCTGGGGGCACGGTGACCTCCCTCTACAGTTCTGATGAGTTCTGCCTAGTGGCCCGGCACGAGAGATGCAGGGCTCTCAAAGTTCCGTCGATCTCCGGGAGATCTACACGGATCTGCACCCAGCTGAAGCGGCACTCCTGGCCGAAAAGCCGGGAGCCATGCCTCTGGTTTTTGTTGCTCCAGGAGTTCCAGTGCTGTCTTGATAGTTTGCATATGTTTTACATCACAGAGTGTCTGAGATGTCTTTCCTCAAAGCTTCTTCGATACGAACTATAATAACCCCAAAATGGCTTGAGCTGAGCCTTGACAACAGTAGTCTTCGGAAGGATAATCTCGGTTTCAATGGCCTTACTCTCAACATGAAGTGAACAAAATGGTCAAAAAGAGTCACATGCAAAACCTGAGCCTGTCACTTGCACGTTTCGGCCGTGGTAGCTGAATGGTTTGGCATTCTTCACCTGAGAATGCGTTGCTTGTTCTGAGTATTAAACATGGAAAAGGAGTGGCGCCTCCAAATGCAAGCACTCTACTCGAGAGTCATTGAGACCTTGCCACTCATACACGACAAATTTAGCAGCAGTCTTCATCTTGGTCATATCTGCTATGAAGGTATTGGAAGAGCTGCCTCCAGAATGTGGGTGCTGGCACGGGGTAGCCCAAATGATGAAGTCGTCTGTGTTGTTCCACCACATGGCCACCTTCCCAAAACAACAGTTCAGCATGTGCTCAATCCGCCATGAACTTGAGTCTCATACTTCCTGGGATAGTGGAACAAGAAGTCGGTGAATTTGCCAAGGCCGATTATCCTGAGAAACGAACCATGACAACCATCAGCACAGAAGGTTCTCACAAACTCCTGCCTCCTGTAGCTCTACCGTCTGAAACGGCTCAGAAGACACCTTCTGCACCTTCTGCAAACGTACAAGCCGTGCAACATGTTTTTTTTTTTGTACAGTATATAAGCATCCTGCCTCTGCAAAAGATTTGTTGTCCAGCCTGTCCAACCTGCAACTTTGTTGAAAGCACAGCCCCTGTACTAGAAGACTCACAACATAGGTAGTGCTGAGATTGACTCAAACCATTGCTGGTAGAGGGAAAAACGGTAGCCACCCCATGGTGTGGTGACATTGATGCATTGGCCTCTCAATGGACTTACCTTCATCACCTGCAGTCGGCCATGACATTTGCAAGGTTATTACAATGTTCATGAAGACCTCTGAAGAGCTTGACATGCTCATTTAGGGATTCCTGCTTGCATGTAAGCGCAGCGCCAGGGCGCAGAATAAAGCTCGAATTTGTTTCGATCCCCTGCAAGGCACCAGCATCACAATGCAACCAAGCTAAGTTGCAACCAAACCACAAAAAAGGCTACTAAAGCTAAGATACGAACATGTTTGTCAAGTTTTCTGTTGACTCTGCCAGCCTCATGGCCCACGTTGCTGGATGTTGCCTGACCCAGCCCGGTCGGCTCCCCCACGCCAAACGACATTCGTGGCTGGGATCCCATGCCATTCGCAATTTCTGAAACAGCAAGGCAGCCTTGGTCAAGGACGTCGAGAGTAGATTCCTTTGCTAGTAATTACAATTCTAATTAAATTCTTATTGTTACTACTAGTAAGGCACCTGCTACTACTAGTAAGGCACTTGTTTCTACTAGCTTCTTGTTACTACTAGTATGGCACCTGTTACTAGTAAGGCCTTGGTCAAGGACGTCGAGAATGACCCACAGGGCTCTGGATAACCTTTTTTCGGGGAACACAACGGCCAGTCAGCTCTGCTCTAGGAGCACTGCTGTTAAAGGTAAGAAAATGCCCTTGAAGACAGCTTGTCTCCAAAGTTCATGGGCAGGACGTTGACGTGGCATGGGCCACCTGAGTCTCGGAAAAGAGGTAAAAACGCAAAAGCTCCAAAGAAAGACCTGAGGGCACCACCAAACCACTCCCTCAAACCTGCAGTTGCAACACAAGAAACGCGTCCAATCATCTACTCAAATCATCTCATAGCTACTCCTTCAGAACTGCCCGCCTTCCATCCATCGCCTTCGAGGCGATCTATCAGCCATGCCATTTGGAAAGGAAGGACGTTGTGATCTTCAGCTTCATGCAATACATTTATCTTTTTTCCGTCTACTCATGTTCACCCATTGACTTCAGCCTTGGGATGCATGCTGTGAGAAACCATCACACCCGTCACACGCGTGGTGCGTAAACATCTAAAGAAGCTAAAGAAGACGACTGGTAAAAAAGGAAAGAACATGTGCTGAGGGTGGTTTGCAATCTCTTCATACTTCACTTGGGCTGAACCTGATCTGGATCTGTACCAAGAGTGTATGAAAAGCTTCCTAAAGTTTTCCAGGTCAATGTCAACAGGACCAGCAACAGCAAACCACAAACAACAAACATAGCAGCAACAATGACAAACTTGGACAACCTCGCTTGTCTCCTTTTACTGCAAAGGTCTGAGGGGTTTGAGGATCTGTCGGGAAAGGTCCAGGCGGACGCCTTAAGCGAAGCCGCAGAGCCCTTCTGCGAAAATGGACTCTACAGTGGCTCTGCGAGAACTGAACCCTGCAATTCAGCACTTGCCTCCGGCAAAGTGCCTGAAGCCATCGGCAAGCCCCTTAAGCTTGCGTTATAAGCTTGCTGAAGCTGAAATCTTTTGGCACTATTTTTGCTTGAACTTCTTCCAGGTCTCAAAGATTCGTGTGTCCCTCCCTGTACTTCGATGTATGTGCAACTTGTCGACGACAGATCTCATGTGATCCTTTTGGTCAGCATCTGCTGAGGAAGGCACCTGAGTTCGATGGAAGTGGCTCAGCAGCAGCATGATCCTCTTCCCATGTTGCTCCTCCAAGGCACGGCGTCGAGGATGTCCAGGATACACATTAGCGTTTCTTCCACGCAATCCATCTTACCTCAGAAGAAAGAACTCTGGACTAATTCGCAGGATGAAAATGCCACAGGCTTTCAATAAACAAGTGAGATTTGACGAATCACAGGCCTCGCCACCATTCAAAAACACGCTTTGATGAGTACCTCCAGCCACACAGACTGACTGCAAGGCAGATGTTTGACGGAAGGGAGCTGGACATGTTAAAAGTGCGAACCCCAGAAAACCTCTCCAAAAATAGATTCAAATCGACAAAGTTTATTTGTTCAAAATCTGTGATTGCGTTGGATCTTTGAAGCTTCATGATGTCCACTCACAAATTTACCTTCTGCATCCTTCTGCTGAATCTTCCTATGCGACAATAGTCTCTATGTAAAGCAACCTGGAGCAGGTAGGCTTGCAGAACACTCCGAAAAATCATGTTTACACACCGTTTCGGTTTGAATCGATAGTCGTCCACTGGTTGAGTCGATAGGGGGTCTTAGACCATAGAATGGTTCCATGCCTGCTTGAAAATCCCTCAGGATTCACTTCAAACAAATTTGACCAGGGGAAATTCATGAAGAATTCCCAAAAAGAATTGCTGCCACAGCCACTGCAAAGTGGCCACATCGATGGCATTCGCTGGACCTCGCAAGCGCAAGCAGCCTTCCAGGAGCTCCTGACAATCCAACGTGAGATCATGCGGGGAGATGTGGGGAGGAGGGTCTGCTAACAACGGTCTGCCAATCGGAGTTTCGCACTGTGTGGTGCTTTGCATTGGCTTGGTTGCGCCATCTTCTGTGTTACATCGCCGAAGGTGTGTTCCAACCTCGCACTCAATGTTGCCAGACTGCTCGGTGTCAAGCAACTTGAAAAGGCCATATGCCTCAGCGTCTTTATGTTGCCAACCAGCACAAAGGAAAGAAGAAAGCAAGAGGACGGGTGTGCCATGGTGGAACCTCCAAATGCCGTGTAATATATATATATATTATATATATATAGACAAACCAGACTTGGTTGAGCTATTCGCTTGCTTTGATACCAGCAAATCTTAGGGAGAAATCCCCAACCTGGAAACAATGAAAAACGCAACAAACACTCCAGGAAAGAGAGCAAGGGCACTCGAACGAGGGCGCTCAAAGAAGATGGGACAAAGAACGAGTCACATCAAAAACATTGGGGGGTAAAAGCTGCACAACTCCCCAATCTACTTGGCTTTGCAGGTGTAGTGTAATGTAGTGGAGACAGTTGGCTCTCTTCCCCAGATCGCGAGAGCTATTGGGGTTCTTACTTCAAGTATAGGAAGAGATGCCGGTGTGCGCTTTGGAGCTCGGGTGCTGGTGCCGCTGTGGGCGCTTGGGCGCTGGCGCCGCTGCAGGATGCCGCTGCCAGATGTGTGCGCTTTGGAGCTTGGGTGCTGGTGCCGCTGCAGTACCGCCCGAGGGTGCTGCTGCGACGTGTCTTTGGCCGTGTCCCACAAAAGTCTTGTTGCTATCCGGGGTCTATGCTGGCGTAATTTCATGTGTACCCACTGGTTGCGTTGTCTTTCAACTCCCATATTGATACTCAAAACGGGGAAGCCCAGGAGTATGCAAAGGATATCAAAACGCTTTGGGCCAGGATCCTGTGTGACACACCCATCTTCCTTTCCAACGGACCTCAGCTGACCCCCCGACTCAGCCGTGCCGCTTCAGAGATGTTGAAGCCCAAACTCTCAAAGCATCGCATCATGTCGGGCTTCTCCAAATGCCTTTTCTCGACTCAGCGACTCCCTTTTTGCATCTTTTTGCTGTGGGAAGGGGTGGACGGGGTTGCACAAATGGAAGAAGGATGCCCCACAACCGACAAGCTGGAGTCTATTTGTTGAAAAAGAGCCTGATGGCTTTGTGATTTCTTCGCATCGAATCTTGTTCAGTGCAACTGTAGCGTCTGCCATCTGCAGAAGAAAAAGGCTGTATTTGGTACTGCGAACACTTCCTCAAAGCTGAGAATAAATTGCAGCTTTGTAGCTGGACAAATTCCTGCAGAATGCTTGCTTCACATGTGGAGAGGCGTTCGAGGCACAATGCTTAGGAAAACTCTGCCAATCAAGCGCATTTCACTAGCAGTACGCGATCAAAAGCGATCTAACACCCACCCAGTTCCAGCAGCGTCCTCCCAGCACACGAATCCGTCACGACTGGCATCAACGTGCCTCGGAACAGAGCTGTTTGGTGGATTTTCGGGGTAACCTTTTTTGACCTTAGCCACCCAGTTTTAGAACAGTTATATAATACGTCAATAGTTCTGGTTTCCAGGGTGTGTGCTCTTTCGTCCAATTGCTTGTGGCCATGTTTGATCCCGAACCTCAATTTCATGAATCCAATGTGTTCTTTGACCGGTGCCATCAGTAGGGTCGAGGCTATGCTGTGTTCCTGAATTCTCAGTCCCACATCTGTTCTCCACATAGGGAAGCCAATGCGTGCTTGACATCATTTATATAGATCAAAAAGATACCAAACAACATCCAGGAGGCTTGAAGAGCTCCTGCAGTTGTTGCCTCACCTCTTTCTCTTCATCTGCTCTGGTTGATTGCAAGGCAGACTCCACGAAGATTCCTTCCAGCCAACTCCGATGCACGACTCAGAATGCAGGAGATGTTTGTTTGTTAGGATCTGTAAGTAACACCTTGACTCTTCTGGAGAAATCCTGGGAAGGATGAGACCCCACGAAAGATTGTAGCAGTTTGTATAGTGTATTCCAGGGCCATCGTGGCATCCAAAGATGGAACGAGGGGAATTTAGACACAACTCTTGATTTCTAAGATGTGAATGGAGACTCCAAAGCTGAGAAGAAAATATTAAAACGACTCACAGCCCCACTAGCCCGGACTCCCTCCCCGTTGTTTTCCTGTCACCACATTCATCATGGCCAGGACCGCGAAAGCGATGTAGAGGACAAACAAGGCAGCGAGCCAGGGGCCGATTTGATTCTCCAATGGTTCCAAGAGATCATTCCAATCAATTCCACCAGTAATCCCTGCAAATAAGGAGACCAAGGCCTCAACCAAAGATCCATAGTAGGTCTTGATGTCAGGCGCAATCTCAAAGATGCGCGGCTCATCTAAACCCTTGTCCGCAACCATTTGAATGAGGCAAACTCCAACACCATACATCAAGAAAGCCAGCAGTATAATGGTCCACATGAGAGACTTCAACGATGCTGCTATGGACATGACCATTGATCGAAGCTCCTGCACGAATCGTAGAACGCGCATGAGCCGTAGGATGCGCAAGAGTCTCAAGAGACGAACTAGCCTCATGAAATTGAGGTTGCCATTGCCACCAGTCCCAATAGCTAAAGTTGTGATGATGTCAAAGACTTGCAGGCCAACCACCACCGAGTCGAAGATGTTCCATTTCCAATCAGGCATCCGGAAAAACTTGATGTTGTAGACCAGGATTCGCATCACAAGCTCCCAGGTAAAGACCACAGCAAAAATGTACTCAAAAACGTCAAACCACACTGGAGCCTGTTGCCCAATATGGGTGACCATCCAATCTGCTTGGATGCCCATCATTAAGGAGTTCAGAACGATGAACGAGATCACAAAGTATCCAAAATAAGAGTTCTCCACAAAGTATCGCCGAACCAATTCTCTGCAGTCGTCAAAAGGGGTCGGTTTTTCACTGGCCTGCGCACCAAGCATCAAAATCCTCAAGACTTGAAAAAGAAAATGGCTTGATGTCCAAAAGGTGAATCCGAAGGAGCCTTAATGAATGGATCAGACTTCATTCTACGGCTTTTGGAACAAAAACAAAAACGAGGCACTGTGGCCCAACACATCCAATTTTATGCCAACCTAAAGCCAAACCAAAGCTAAGCACGGCCTTCTCCAATACCGGAGGAGCTCTTCCTTTCTCTGGGACCACTGGGCACATCACACCTGGGCTTTGTGCATAGTGCATACCAATGGGAAGGGCGTATTCAACAGCTTCTGAGCCACAAAAGCTTGTGTTCACATCTGGGAACTTGCTTTGCCCATTCAATGGTCCATTCATTCGTCCATGATTTACTCAAAACATCTCAAAACCATCCACACCTGCAGTGGCCGGAATCTGCTTCTTCACCACCTCAGTCTGCCTTCTTGGCCTCACACGGCGGTCTTATCCCGTCTCGTCTCGAACGAATCGGTTTTCTCAGCTGGGGACGGTGGGCTCTCGGGCCGTGGAGGCTCATCAGCCACCATGCCCGGCAGCTTTTGGGCATCCTGCGGAAACGACTAGACCGTGGAAGGGCAGTGCTCCATTGCTGTGTGGCCCATCCGGGCAGCCCTGCAATCAACATCAAATGGGTGCGTCTCAAGATTGGACCCCCCCGGCTGTACTCTGGTAAATGTTTCATGAACGCAACGTCCGCTCGAGGGTCCTTGGCGTCTTCACCCTGAGAAATGGCCAACCGCACTGGAGCAGACGCTGGTACTGAAGGACAAGGTGCCCAAGGAGACCTACAAAATGAAGAATCAATCTCAACATATCTCCACGTTTGCCTCTAAGTCTGGGATTGTCCCAAGAAGATTCTGCAACCACTCCAAACACCTTGTGCCTTTGAACAAAGAACAAGGTACAGGAGAGCCACTGAGGTTGCTGCGCAGGATGCACAGGGTCCTAGCAGCAAGACAACAAAGTCGAAAAAACAAACATCTGTACCTCCAGAAAGGTGCGTAGCGGCTACACACTGCAAAATTTACAACCATCAGGCTATGCCCAGATCCTGGTCTTCCGGCATGCTCAGATCTCGACTCTGCCTGGAGCATCCAGAAGATGCAAATTGCAGTTGCTTCCATGCTCATGCAAAATCGACCAGTGCTGGCAAGAGAAAACAAGAATCTTGTGCCTCAGCAAAGGTCTGAGATCATCCATCAGGCCACTCCTCAAACGAGTTTCCAGGGCGGTTAATTCCACCTGCAGCCAATCTTGCAGGACCTCAGGTCATGCCAATGCCGCCTTGATCCGGGCCCTCTTCCAGCAACAATGCTCACCAAACAACGGTAAAACTCTCCCATGAAACTGTCAAACCTTGTGATCCACTCTGATCCTCTCGGAGAATCCTCCTTTGTTCAAATAAAAAGGCCCAAGCGGCTTGCATCCCAGTGATCGTCTCTATTTTCCCATCCTGGATCCGCACATCTTGGAGCTGTGCTTCCAGCCTCACGCGAAAAAGCCAAGTCCTCACAACTCTGAATTCACGATGTTAGAAACTCCATATCATATATCTGTCTAAACGAGCGGCAAACAGTACGAACCCTCCCATCTGCTGTGAGCGCTTGATCAAGCTGGTTTAAAAGCCAATAGTGGCACACTTACCCAGTTCCTGTGGGAGGTGAGACTTATTCTGTTGAACCTCCAGCTGTCTTTTGCTGGGCCAATCTTCACGTTGCGCAAAGGGGGCATGCGTGCCTGGTGGCATCTTGCACAAGGGATGCCAGCTGGGATTGCACCTGATGCAACCAGGGTCGTCAGGCTGTATTGCACATGACACATTCATGGACTCATGGACCCATGGATAGATTATCTCGGCCGTCAGAAAAATCTACTGGAAAGTCCAAAACTGGACAGATGTTCAGTGTATACATTTTCGCTGGTGGATAAACTAGCATGCCAAATACATCTATCCTTCTGTGAATAAGGTGTTGTCGATGTTACAAACACTTCTTGTCGCAGTGTTGTTCTTAGTTGAGTCCAAGTCTAGGCAGCGCCGCCTCCGAATGATTTAGAAGCGCCATAGGATGATCTGGTCCGAAGCACTTTGAGGCGTTGAAGAACGCTAAGAGACCCGGTGAACACGTGTTTGATGGAGGCTATGTGCAAAGCAAATGATATGCACTGGCTGTTTGTTGATTCAAAAAGGATCAAAAAGAAATGTGTCTTCGTGGTCCATCCTCTGGCTGCCATTCTGGCTTTGTGCCTGGGGAGGTTTACCATTGGTGTTGGTGACTGTGGATGCTGTGGAATTTGCCCTAGCTGTGTTTTCAACTCTCAGCACAAGATCGGAGATCCCATAGACAGCAGCTGCAACTTCATCCGTCGGCCTAGATCAGGCTCGCAATCTGGGGCCGACCAAAGTGAACAACCTTTTTCAACGAAGGGATCCATCTCTGTGGCCCTGAACCTGGCATAGCATGCCTGCCCGGCTGCCCGGAGCGTCACATCCTACGCTGTCCAGCTTGTTTCACAAGCGGACCTGAACGTTAACAATGCAAGATTCATCAAGATGCCAACAGCACAGCGTCACCGCAGCAACATGCACAATGAATTTTGCAGCATGATGTCTTTGGGTCTTCCTTCAAGCAGGCTGTGCCACTGTCCTGCTGTATCTTGACATCCTGGCAAACCCTTTCAGCCGGAGTCTGCAGCCTGACTTTGGGTTATTGCAGCCCGGCTCTTCAACCTCCGCTTTGGCCGAGAGCTTCTTTGAATCTCTTCACAGCTCAAATGTCCTGTCTGACATGCAGTCAAAGCAGGTCAGTTGTGTATCTCAAATGGCCCTTACAGCCTTCCACCTCTTGTGAAGTCACGCAAACAATAAGAATAACTTGCAAGGTTTGAGGCTTGAGGAACGAGTTCACTCTTGCGGCCTTCGTGTTCACCAGCTGCCTGTTCTGCCATCACCAGGCGGATCCAGGCCGCACCAATTGGCAGCAAGGCCATGGAAAGGACGACCCCAGAGGCCACTGTGGTGTGACCATCAGGATCTGAGTCTCCAAGTGATACATCTGAATCTCCGGCTAATAGACCTCACGGTGAACCCTGAAAAGGTGGACCTTGCGAGGGCCTTTAGGCTTCTGGGAACCATCTGCATTGATTGGCCACCCGCCGCAATGCAGGGCGGAATGGTGGAACATACTGAACATACTGGATCAAAGCTAAAACTAGATGTATGGGGAGGCCATTACATCTGAGTGCACAGTAAATAGCCTCAAGAGCAATCAAGGTGCCAGGACCAGTCAGGTTCACCAAGCTTCCAGAATAGACCACAGGCCTTAAATAAAGTCGGAGTCAAGTGCAACTCTTCAAATTGCTTTCCAGATTCCACTGGCTCAGGTGGTGGCTCCATTGATACCTCCACCCACCGCACTCGAATCTGGAAGTATCCCTGAGAATACTGGCTGTAGGGTGACATGGACTTTCAGTCATGGGTATGTCTCAAAATGATGTTTCAAAAATTGGATTTGCTTCCCCTAGAGCACATTGCTTGGGGCCTCCTTCCTTTTGAGACACACCAAAACATCGGTGTTCCATACGTTTCGCTCTATGGCAGCCTGGAGAATGTTGCGAAGAAGCAACGCAAGGGGGCTGGACCTCGATTTGATTCGATTCTGTCACATGAAGTCGATGTCTTCATCGAATCTTCCATACTTAACTCGAACCTCTTGGCAAATGGCACAAATGCAAAAACTATTTGTCGCTACACCTTGCATAAGTCATCACCTGGGGGCTAAGTCGAAAACATATCTTCCAGGTCCATAATCGCAGCTAAAACCTCACTCGCCGAGTGCTGCTGGACTGGTGGACCCTACCAGCAACCTCTGGGAAGGCGCTCGCTAAATTCAAGCAATGAACAAAACATACAAAATCAATCAAAATCATACCCATACAAAGCCCAAAAGCCCCACACACGGATTTCCTAGGTCAGTGTTAGTGCTCAGTCAGTGGCCTCTGTCTCATTCACATCATCGCTCAGGGAAACCTCCCATCAACGCTGAACAACGGCTGTGACAACGGCTGCGTCAACGGCCCCCAATGGCACCTCCAGCTCAACTTCCAAATCAAATTCTCTGACCTCGAACCATGTGTCAGCATGTTCGATCGAAAAACGCATAAGCACTGTATGTGTATACATATTAAATGGCTAGTAGTAGGTAAGTAAGCCATATTTTTGAGAAAAGTAAGTACATATATATATATATATTATCTTTTTTTCCCGCCAAGCAGTGTGTTTGAGGTCTAGACGGTCTAGGGTGTGGCAGCAGAAAGTCTAGAGATCTAGACGCGTTGGGGTCCAGAGAGGCGAGAGGCGATGGTGGTCTGGCTCAAGCCGACCGACCCTGTCATGTCAACCCAGAAGACCTCAACCCCAAGGCCAGCCGCATCCGACCCCGAAAAGTCAAAGAAAGCCCCGACAACCTTTTGGCCGGGACGCCCTTTGCTCTACCATGTACTCAGTCCAGGCTGCGCTTCACTCGAGCTAAACAGCGCTGGGTACGCTGATTGCACTGGTTACGCGGAATACGCTGGTTATTTACGCTGTTTACGCTAATTACGCTGCTTACCCTGGTTACCCTGGCGACGGGCGCTGTTTACGCTGGATACGCTGCTTTGCGCTGGACGCGCTGGTTAACGGTGTAACGGTGTTAACGGTGTAACGGTGTAAACTGTGTAACGGTGTAACCGTGTAAAAAATGCGCTCGTACGTAAGGCGGTTCAGGATGCTCATCATGACAAGAGGTCTGAGGCAAGCTGACGGCAGCTCCTGGTTGAACACCAGGGAACGGATTCTCATGGGATCCCGCGGCTGAAAAAGGTATATATTGCAAAAGACTCGCGCCAAGAGGCGTCGAAAAAGCTTTCCGCGCCCGCCAACACATCCGACAGGCGTCGCGTGTATCTGAAGTTGCGTGTGAAGTGACACAGGCCTCCTGCGCAATGGCAGGCACTGTGCCCGGCCACAATCAACGCGTCACCCTCATACTGGGTCATTTGGACCATTCGGGTCGAGGTTGAGAGGCTCAGTCACGAAGACTGTCACGGAGCCCGTCTCCTTTAAGGGGCCGCGACCGTGTTCCAAGACAAAGCAGCCTACATCTAGGCAAGGGCTCCTGCTTGGAGCAGTGCATGGTCGGCGCAGCCCACTTGTACGAGCTTTTCCTCGGCTTTGCAGCAGCCCGCCAAACGCACACCGTTGAAACACAGGCGCTGCCGTTTCACACTGGCGAGGGCGTGAAAGATAATGGTTATATCCACAAGAAAACTTGACTGCTAATGAAAAAGACATCTTATTGTTCCAAAAGAATTTTCTTTAAACCATGCCCCGAAAATCTACACTTTCAGGTTCACGAAACGAAGCTTCACAAGCATCTGCACGTCGAGGCTCACAAAGCACTGCTGCTATGACATCTGCAACAGGAGTTTTGTAAAGCGCTCCGCCCGCCGCGAAATCTACAGTCTGAGTCGTCTGAGGCTCACAAAATGGTGTCCTTGCCACGCCACGTCGCCTTCAAGGTTCACAAAGCGTTGCTAAATCTGCACTTGGCGGCGCCCACGCCTGCCACGCCTGCCACGATACCACGCGCGCAGAATCACATCCCGCAGGAAAAGCACGCCAACAACAGCCAAGCTCACTGCACTGCGCCTGCCACGATCTGCACATCCAAGTACAAAACCGCCTGCGCGTGCCACGAAGCCGACTTCACACAAGCAAAACACAAGGGTTCCCTGCTTGTTGACGAAAGCGCAAAGCACGAAACTCCAGGAGCATTTCCAAGGTAAGCCCTTCGGAAACAAACGCAGCAAAAACGATACAAAGTATCAACATCGAAAACCAGAAACGCCTCTAAATCCAACTATACAAATATGTGTACATAAATACGCCAAGAAACCACAGCCAAGGTATTTAGGGTGGAAGACTTTGCCACCCAACAGCAGGTAGCAACTCAATTGACTGGAACTTTTCAAACACTCCAACTATGCGCCGCTAAAGCTCCAACGCAACCGCAATCGATTTGTGAAATGTACAAAAACGGGAGCAGGAACGGGGTCCGGAGCAGGCAGGAGGAAAGCGTAACAGAACAAAAGCATCATTCCAAACACCTGTAACAGGAACAGACAGCGCAACACAAGTGCAACAGCGCGCAATCATCCTGATGCGAAACTGCTGGCCGTTAAACGCGTTTTACGCGGCAGCTGTTGCCGTCACAGCCGTCCTGCTAGGTTCACGCAAGCCTGTGGCAAAGCTGCTCGTAGAACATAGATATAGACAATTGCTTCGCAACGGTGGCAGGAGGCACACCACAAGTGGAAAAACTGTTGGCGGCGCAGAAAGGTCGATCGAGGTACGCGCAACTACTTGTGGCCTTGCTGCGCATACAACACGCTTGGCGCTGCGGTTGCTCTTTTGCTGGAGAAACTGTTGCCTAGATGCGCCCTGCTAAGTTCCAAGTTCAACTGGAGCTTCGGCAGCACGGTGCCGCACCTCCCCGTCAATGTTCTCCCAATCATTGCTGGAAGCAGAACTCGAGTCAGTTCGAACTTCACACGACCTTGGATCAAAAAACGGAGTACTACAGGTCAGTCCAAGAAGGAAAGCTTGTAGTGATTGTAGTGCATGAGCGGAGCCAGATTCATGAGAAGCACAACACGCTGAGCCCACGACACACTTGCATGTGGGAAAAGAGCCCGTGTCAAGGCAGGAGCGCAGATCCTTGATCGCCTGTGTCTCACTCAATTGGGTAGCTCTCTGCTTCGTGCCCATATCCTGGTGCAGTAGGAGTACTGGAGCAGGTGTTACAATCTGCCATAGCTTGGCAACAGCAAAAGGCAGTGTCTCTGAACACGTTTACAAAAGTAGTCTGCATCTGAAACGTTCACACAACTCTCAAAACTGAAGCCCTTGATCCATCCTTCTGAAAATTGATCGCTTATCAGCAATCAGCCCTAACAAGACATCTCTGGAGTTAGCACACAGCATGTATATCGATCTATAACATTGAGTTAGACATGCATGCAGCAGGCAAAAATGGTAGATCTTTGGGGGATAGCATATATATGGCATATAAATAGCGTGATAGAATGCTGATTGACCAGAAAGAAAGAGCACAGCTTTACAGTTCGTGGTGTCTGGGCTGTTTGTTGGCAGCTTACCAAAGGCAAAATGCACCTGCCTCTCCGAAGCCACTTGTGCCTTGCCAAACAAAGACACATAAGCGACGCAACTTCTGCCACCTGAGCTTTTGCTATTCGCCTGTCATCAGGTCAACAATCCGCAGGCGCACGATGCTGCTGGCAGAGACACCAATACAAACTGCAAGTGAGCGCCTCAGGTCGCAGCCAAAACCATGGAGGTGGTCAACGTCTGAAGGTTGTTTCTTGTCAACTTCCTATTGACCAGTTGATATCCTGTCACCATCTGTCAGTCTCATCATTCATACGGTTTCGAAAGCATGATTTCCAAGCAGCTCAGGGTCTACAAGACACGCGCTAATGGGTCTTGTGGTACTTGGCGCAGTATGTGTTAGCATTTGATATATACATACATTATATATATATATTATATATACATATACAAATGATGTTTAAAAGACTGTATATTGAAAGTGTCCATACTGTAAGTTCTGGGAAAGCACGTGCTACATAGGGAGCAGTCAACCAAGGTTTGAATCTCTTCCAAACTTACCTTGGTGTTCCATGGTGTTGGGTATTTTGGCGTGAGTGTCCGAAGTCCAACTCGGCCTGAGTCGATCTTCAAGCTGATCGACTGAAGGCTCCTCCAAACCGCTCAAGCCTCAAGAAATGGCAGAGACTCACTCTTGTCAATGAGACATTTCCTGCAACCAAATCACTTCTTGCTGGGACTTTGGAGACAATTGAAGAAGCCACCCTAAATGAGCTTGTCTTTGAGACCTCTCTCATCTTCTACAGTATCTCAGTATCTCCTTTAGGATCCAGCATGAAATTCATATTTTCCAGCCCAAGAGCTGCATCTTGTCATCTACCATCACCTTCACCTCCTTCTATCATCTTTCATCTAAGTCTCCGAAGCGAAGTGCAGCAGCCAGCAGCTGTCCCCTCCACTGTGTGGAGAGGTCGGCAGCGCAGCCCGAGCTGCCGAAGAGGTGCCCAAAGAGGCAAATGAAAACGCCCAACGACACGGACCTTGGGCAGACCGGCTAACCCCAACGACCCTGGCAGGAGACTTCTTCAGGCCAGGATTTAAAAAACAATATCATCTTTATCATGGTTTGGAGGACTGGAATTAGGGCCTTGAGATGCCTTGAGACGTCTTGATTACACCACAAAGCATCTGCAAACATCGCAAACATTCCAGGGTCGCAAAGAGAATGAGAGCCAAGGGCCAAAATACGGCGCACCGGGCAATCAATGACATGGATCAACATACAGACAAATTTATGCACCCTATGTTCTTATTGGACGTGTGTTTTGGAGAACAACTGATTTACGGAACTCATGTGAACCTCGAACCTCGAGCAACGTGAACCATTGCGGAACTTGCCCTTCTGGGGCCAAAGCGGTTTTGGACAAACCATTGTGCATCGCTCCATGTGTAGCATAGACCTTGTTTGGACAAACGTGTCGAATAACATCCGATCGGAAAAAAAGAAGGATTACTTGGGCCCCTTAACAGCCCTTAACACCTTCTTTTTCCTGATGTGGCCTGGGACAGGTCGAAGACATGGAGGCCACGACGCAGCTTCTGCTGGACCTGACCAGCAAGACATGGAGTCCACTGCCCACGAACGGCCACATCAAGAAATCCCTCAGCCGCAGACATGATGCTTGCTAGTCCGGTAGTAGTTGTACTGCTGGTGGTCCCATTGATGCTGCTGGTAGTGCTGCTGGTAGTGCTGGTAGTGCTAGTGATGCTGCTGGTGCTCGCTGTACTAGTGGCTGGCAAGCCGGTTGCTGTTGTGAGGGTAACCTCGAAGCTACGCTCTGTGCTGGTGTTGCTTCCACTTGTTGTGCTCGTACTCTTTCTGGTGGTACTGCTGCTTCCACTGCTAGTGGTGCTAGTTGTGGTTGTGCTGGTCGTGCTTGAACTGCTGGTGCTGACAGTGCTGATGCCACCAGATTCTATGCCTGTGAAGCCACTCGTTGTGATGCTCGTACTCGAGCTTGATGTACCGCTTTCGCGTGTTTGACTCGTTGTGCTGGTGTAATTTGTGCTTGTGGTGCTTGTGATGTTAGTTACAGTTGTTGTGGAGGTTCTAATTGACGTGCTGCTTGTTGTGGTAAGATTCGCGATGGTGCTGGTGATGGTCATGGTCACAGAGCCGTTGAAAAACAGGCATGCAGGTACTCGAAGGACATCTTCCTGATGGTACCCAAACTCAAGACGAACTTGGTGCGAACATAAAGTTTGCGTCAAAAAATCGAAAGACCACAGTAAAACCGCAAGCTCCTCGCAAGACATGTTGTAGTCAGCTTGAGAACCCGGACAGGAGACCGTGCAGGACTCGCCAGCTTCCAGTAACTGACAGAAAACACTACAACCAGTAGCGGAAATCAGCAAATAAGGAGTTTGTTGGCGAAAGCAGCACCAGCTTGCATGTGATATTTTCCAAAGAATTCCTTACAATTTAGGCCTCTGGGCAGTCAGATAGGTTCATGGAGGAGATGTTACAGAAGCCCTGCGCAAGGAGCACCTGATAGCGCATTTGAGTGCGTCTCAAAGAATGCAAGGAGTTTTAATGAAAAACAGTTGAGAACTTCTGATTTGGGGCCAAAGGCACTCTGATCAACAGCAGCAAGCGAATCATATCCTGTCACACCGGCCGAGCTGTTCCTTCGCTATGTAATGAATCTGAAATCCGGCCATGCCTCTATACAACCTGATCATCTTGAACATGATTCGTCATTCAACGCATTGCTCCATTGTTGCACGACTTGCAAACACCAAACTGGCTGCATTGCGCATTCACCCCAAACAGACTGGGTCTTAATCCGACGTTCAAAACATCAAAACACAGGTGTCCAATTTCTGCAATGTGCCTACTTGTTGGATGTGACTGGAGGATCCGTAGAAAGTAAATCAAAGTACATCACAAAAGGTTGTTCGGACCATCTGAGCCATACTGCGGAAGCTCCACAACACAAGCATCACTTGACAGAAGCGTCGCGGCTGCCACCATCACTCTGCCACACCAGATGTTGCCTGTTGCGAGGTTATTAGGTTCAGTGAGCCGGTCCCAGACCCAGACTTTTGCCCCTTCAGGGTCACCAGGGCTGGGGACACTTCGACTGCTTTGCAGCTGAAGGCCCATACATTAGCACACTTCTTTGCTCTATCACTCAGACAATGCCGGCAGAGATGGAACTCGTTGCCTCCAAGGATTCCAAAAGCAAGAATTGTTTCCATCGTGCAGGCTAGCCATTGCAGGAGAAGCAATAGAATATGAGCAGCCAGAATGACGCAGGCCTTTGTCTCATGCATGCTGCGAAAATGATAAGCAAAACCTTGGCCTCCGTTCTAGATGCTCAGGCGATGATCTTGTAGAGCATGAAGCCACTGTGTTTGTGCAAGATTTTACAGATGCCTCAGTGGTAAGAACTGCTTCAAAGAGTGGGAAGAACCTCTTCCTTGTTCCTCCAAGAAAGTATATAAACTTCACGCCCGAGAGTCCAAGTCGTCTGGCACCTCAAAGAACTCCTTTAAGACTCCTCCTCTCGGTCTTTCATCTGAAGGATGTCGCAAGGGCCGCAAGTTTTGAGGACGCACCTTCAAATACCTGAGCCCAGTTAATGCTCACAAAGGCTCACACCGAAGACCCATGTCTCATCCGTGCTGGCATGGGTGAGAAGAACTCCCTTCCGGCCTGAAGCCTTCTTTTCCTGAAGCCTCTCCAAGGTTCGCTCGGTAGCTGCCAGCTCTCGTAGTGCGTGCCCACTTAGGCATGCGCACCTAGGTGACAAATGTGTGCTCTAAAAGTTGCGGTGCTCTCAAACGTGCCTGGCCTTAAGAAAGCCCAGCTCATCTGCATTGCCTTTGCTGAACGGCCAGAGGTGAAGAACAAATTACACCACCGTAGACCCCAAACAGTTTGTGTTTTTCAAAATCGAAACTAGAGCTTGCGACGTCCAGAGCTGGGAGACAAAGGATTGCAAGGCAGAGGCGGCCACTGCAGCCCAGAGCTAGGAGACAAATGTGAAGGATTGCAAGGCAGAGACGGACACAGCAGTACAGAGCGGGCGGACACATCTTAAGAAAGAATTGAGAAGCCCTAACAGTAGACCTTCTGAAGAATTAATCTTCAAGTGCGAACATGATGCTGGTCATGCTGCTCAATCAGCGGGGAGCTGACCACGTGAGGACAAGAAATACAGGCATGAGGAGCGAAGGATGTGACACGAAATTGATTTTTGGTGCCTGACATATGCCCTCCGTACCAACTGAACAGAGAGATCGCTGCCACCGCCGCCGAAATCCAACCTGGTCATGCATCCAACGCTTGTCCGAAAAGGAAAAAAAACTGAGAGAGTTACACAGTGTGGCAGGAATGCAATCCCGGAGACAGTCACGCACGTTCAAAGGAGCAAGAACCCTTCACAGGTGAACCTGTTCCAGCGGACAGAGCAGAAAACAGCAGTGCAGGCACCAAGCCTGAAAGACAAAAAGAAAGAAATCACATGGGAGACAAACGCATAGAAATGCTACATGGCCAGCGGAAAAGGGCGGCAGCACCAGTGACAGACCCGGGAAACAAATGAATAGAAATGCTGCATGGCCAGCGGAAAACGGCGGACACCAGCAGTGACAGACCTGGGAAACAAATGAATAGAAATGTTGCATCGCCAGCGAAAAAGGGCGGACACCGACAGTGACAGAATAGAAGTGCTTGCATGGCCGACAGAAAAGGGCGGACACCAGCAGTGACTGAATAGAAATGCTACATGGCCAACGGAAAAGGGCGGACACCAGCAG